GTCTTGCTTTCAGGAGAAATCCTTGTGCAAAGTAATCAGAATCGAAATAACGAAAATTAATAGAAGGACAAAGGAGAAGAAAAATATGGACAAAATTTAAGAGAAAAGGTATGCAATTTTCACGACAATTTTAATCAGAGTGTCTTGGTTTCGATAGAAATCCTCACACAAAGTAACCAAAGTCGAAATAACCAAAATTAATAGGACAAAGAAAAAGAAAAATATCGACAAAATTTAAGAGAAATGATGTACAAGTTTCACGACAATTTTAAGCAGAGTGTCTGTTTTAATAGCAATTATTGTACAGAGTAATCACAATTTAATAAAAAGAATAGAAGGATCAAGAAAAAGAAAAAATACTAAAAACCTCTAATTATTCCCAATTTATAAAGTTCTGTAGAATTTTCACCCCTACTCTCGCTCTTTCTATTTCCCTGCTTATTGAAACTCTTGAAATATGTACCTGGAAGTATGTATACCCCGTTCGATCGTCTTTTTCCGCCGTCGTTTCCTCTGTTCTCGTTCAATCCTTTGAGAGACGTGTAACCGTATATACGGGGAACGCGCGGGCCAAAAGCAATACTGATGGGATTCATTTTCGTGAACAAAGCGACGGCCCGTAGCGAAACTGCAAATGGAGAATTATAAAGTGGCGAGAACGTCGCGTCGAGTGACAATCTGGCATCCGTGATTGTAATATATTTTCGTCATTCCCCGGGAATTTATGTGGACGAGTTTGTTGTGTCGCGAACGCCGGTGATAATCGTTCACCTCGATATCCCCAGGTAATATTCGTTTTGGGAGCTCTCGTGAAATTGACGGCAGCTATCGTTTATTAGGAAACGAATCGTTCGAATTGGATAACGTTATTAGTAAATTGTGAATGTCGAGCAGTTTCTCCTTGAAATTTCAAGAATTTCTTGCATTCGAAAAGTTCGGAATTTCACTAAAAAAGGAAAACTAATTTTCGAATAATTTTTAATACGTGAAACTTAAATTGGAAATTTCAGATTTGTATTCTCTGCAGTACACTATCGGTCAAAATTTTAAAATCACCGTGCATTGCAAATTATAGAAAAATTTGCCAAAAAATGTTAGCCACTTTAGGAATTCTTTAACGAATTCTTTATTATTCAAATTAATCGATATGAGGTAAAAGATTTTTACAGAATACTTTGAAATTGCATGCGACTTTTAGAACGTGCATTATATTTACAAATTTCCCCCTCGTTCTGTCATTTCACCAGCGCGATCTGCATTTCCTCAAAATTCCTGCAGTTTCATTCTATTCGAGCTGTCGCTTCGACTGATTACCTTATTCGTATCATTCAAGTGGCAGCAATGTTTATTCGTCACACACGTAGATATTTCCTTAAATGTACCCGAAAAAATTCTTCCTTCACCGGAAACATGGAAACTCAAAACGAGTAAACAGCAAAACGAATTTCCTCCGTTGAACGGGTTCTGCCGCGTTATTATTCATGGTAGCAAGGTTTTTCCGTATTTATCCAATATTACAGCCGAAGCGCCGCTTAAAATTTTCGCTGGAGGCGATGTCCGATGAAGTTTGTAAATTTCCCTACGTTCATGTAAATGTAAACGCAACTATATTTCCCGCGTTGCGTTTATTTGCATGCGACAGAGCAGGGAGGAACCCGGCTGGCGATTCGAGCAACGCTATTTTCATTACACGATACAATTCCCGCTCGGTTTTCGAGGTAAAACAGGTATAATTTGTTCAAACGTGTTACTTCTTCCAATGGTCCCTTGCCTCTCCCTTCGCTTCTCTTTTTTCGTGGACGTTCGCGAATAAAAATCGAGAGAAACGGTGCACGGTATCCTCGAGGTTCGTTCGAGAAGACCAGAGGGAATAAAAACAGCGTCTTATTGTTGACGATATTTTTCCGCCACGGCGTTTCGTCCACGAAGAGAATTCTAACGGAGAACGGTGAAGTGCGACGAATTATTCACGGTGCCGCTTACCGGAAATCGCGAGGTGCTTCTTTAATAATCGTACAATCAAGGTCGCTTTCCAGATTCAACGACACCGATATTCTTCAAACTTAACAATACAAATTCGAACGATTCGTCGATATCGATGGAAAGGGAGAGGGGAGAACACAGGACGAAACGCTGTTAGAGAAATACTCGTTGAAGTGTGTTCCTTTTCGTCGTTTGTTCGCTCTCAACGCGAGGAGAGATGCCTCCGGAAGTAGGTAGTTTGGGAATTTTTTCGTAGGTCACTACTTAATGAAACGTTTCGATTTTTTCAGAGAATAGAGATGCAACCTTCAGCTTTTGTCTCGAATTTTTGCAAACTTAAAATGTTACAAAATGGAGAAGTTATTGCGAAATGTTTGCTACTAGAACGTCGAGATGTGAAAAGTAGAATATGATCACCCAATGAAAGATTCTTATTTCTTCTCATCGAATAAGAGGAGCTTCCAAAAAACAGACCCCGTTAACGTTTTATCAAATATTATTCTCACTTCCTACACCAATTTTCATCTTAAAAACAACGATTTACTATCCCCTAGCCCCGACTGTTCCTCCTTAATCAAATAGCCCAATCAAAATTCTCAAAGCACCGAGAAGATAAGAGCGAACGAGGCAACATTTTCCTTCCTCGTCCTCCAAACGGTGCAATATTCAACGATCCTTTAGAACGTTCCCAAAAGCTAGTCATCCCCATGGACGGCGTTTTAGGGCAATAAATTGGCGATTCGTGGTCGGAACAGCAGCAACGCCTCGCGTTCTAAGGAACTCTTCCCGTTGCCAGTTTCTCAATGGCCGCGTTTCCATAGCCTCCTCCATGGCGGACGTACGTATCTCGGATGGATACGTTCCAAGAAGCTTTTCCCATTGAAAGACAGCGCGTCGAAGTTATCGTTCGATCGAACGGCACTGGGAGAAAACAGCGGGGAACGATCGAACAATGCCGGTTACGAACTGTCTCTCTCTCTCTCTCTCTTTCTCGAAGAAAATCGAGGGAAGCCATACGTTGGATGTGTATTACGTCTATTTTACGAAGTAATAGGAAAACCAGTTCCTCCGCGCGTATTTTCCTTCCGCGCGAACTCTCGAACGAACTGTTACACCCTCAAATATTATCATTCTTAGTCTTAGTTTTATCTGTATTTACAGCGAGTCACCCACTTTCGCCCATACTGGACTCTTCACCTTCCAACTCTCCTACATAGTTATAAGCCCGAAGTCCATCTTCCCTAAACCCTTAAACAGCCCTATTTTCTCCATTTCCGCGTTCATTCTCTGTTTTACCACGCGCACGTCGCGCAACGTTAAACCTCTGTGAAATAAAATTCTGTTTCTGCGCAGCGACGATCCTTAAAATGTTTAAATTCAGTGTTACCCCAATATCTGCTCCGAGTTTCCAGGAATTGGAGCAAACCGGGCATCGCAGAACGATACGCGTGAACTCCACCGTCATTTTCTCCGTTCTTTGCTCTCTCGAAATTTTCTTATCCGGATGAAATTCGGCCGTATCTGGAGGCGAGACTAGCCTTTCGATGTTTCGCGAACGAATCGATGAAATCGGGCATTGTAATTACGATCGCTGATACGAGCCCCGGTGCGGCGTTACGTTTATTATTATGGCTCGGTTACATACCGAGCGTACTTTTTGGATTAATAAGCGGCGGGAGAGTATCGATGGAATCGCGCGACCGTGAGTCTGTATCGGCGATTATCGGCGCGCCAGACCGCGGAAAAATCGAGCTGGCTAAATTGCGGCAAGGCGAATATGAGAGCTCGTGAATCGCTGCGATTTTTGCCCGTTGGTATTGGAGAACCGGTGAATTTATTCAAGGGCTGATAGTAGGCGTAATTGAGCCGAGTGGGTAAAGATTGGTTCACGGTGGTGGAAAGTGTGTGTACGGTTATGGCTGATATACGATTGTGCTTTACTACTGGCACGTAAGGTTACGATCTGTGTGTGCGCTTCTAGATAAATCCGGTGACGTAGTGGTCGAACGCTATCACGGACGGTGTAATGCGTGTATAAAATACAGGGTTGCTATAGAGGAAACAGACACTTTCGATATTTTATGCAAATTAGGTTATTGTAGATATCGTGGGATCAGATAGATAAATAGATGTTTAATAACAAAATATATGAAAAACTGTAATACAATTGACTATGACACACGCTTCTTCTATTCACGCCTCTCGACTTTTTCAAGCACACTGTCCTTTCATCCCTCGCACGCCGTGCTTTATAGCCAGGCTCTTCTCTAGGCCTCTCGTCGCCGGGATTTTTCCGGTTGGGCCTGGCTATCGTCGCCCGCTTTCTCTCTCATGCTCGCCACATTTTCTTAAAACTACGCTTGATTACGATACTACAGTATAGACAAATATTAGGACGTATGCAAATTGGATTTTTGAAAACAACTGATACTAAGTTTAAACGTTATTTATGACAGTTTCTCGGTTATGTGATGTCATAAAAATTTCCGAATTTATAATTGAAAAAAGAAGTTGCACTTTTCACGGTTTTCAAAATATTCGAGCTTTTTTCATCTGTTTCGCGACGATCGAAAAATGTGAAGATTTGGGAAATATCGTGGATGAGGAATAAGTTGCTACTGCAGTCCCGGTATATTTTTCTTCACGTTGCATCCGCAATTATGTTTGTATCAGCAAGCTATAGGTGTTCCATGTGTGCGTCCTTTGTCACAAGGCAGATATTAATACGATAGTCCAATTAGTCTCAAACATGTTGGCCAGTGTCCCTGTCAACACTTGCAACAGCTGCTGTGATGTGCTATGCCATATCGTTTACGTTTACAGGAAGTGGAGGGACGAAAGCTCTGCCTTTGATGTATACTCAGAAAAAAGCTTTTAAGCTTACATTGTGCTACTGGACATATTGAATGTCGGTCTGTTTAACGATTTCGGTGAGATACAGTATTGAAAGTGTCTATTGTATAGTAATCCTGTATGTTAGTAGACAATATTCAGCGGGAAGAAGAGACTGCCAGACTATGAATTGGTTAGAACAGTTACAAAAGAAAAGAAACGGCCATGGAAAAGACAATAATAAAGAAGATAATCAAGTAAGCTGCAGTGAGTGAACTTAATTAAGACTGTAATAGCCTAATCAGATAGAGATTCAGACAGAAATTGGGATATGTAGCTAAGATAGCTTATAACTGCAGCAGAAAATTGTAAACCAAGGCCAGTTCTTGGCTGTGAAGCTGAATAAACATATATTTGTATTATTATTATTAGTAAGCAATATTTAGGAATAAAGGAAGTTGCAAGAAAGTAGGGAACGAATTTGGACAATTGCAGTTTTTATGTCGACGACGTTTTTCAAATGAAATAGATGAATTGCACTGTATTAATGTTCCTAAAGTTTGCAATGCTTTATCAGAGAAGTATTGTCATTAGCGAATATTAAACGGCGATTATTTTTTACACTTTGACATTGGAATCGACGAGTATGGTTACCTATATGGCGTCAGACCGCGGAAAAATCGAGCCAGTAAGTTGTATTTCAGTAAGCGCATGGTCACTGTTGGAACCGTTGCGTTGCATGGAAATCGTCTGTAATTAAATTATTCCGATAGCCAATGGTGCAGAGGGGAAGTTGAAATTTGTTTAAACTTATTCGCGTTGAAACGTCAACCATGATTCTCGTTTCCCACCAGAAAGAGAATTAAAAAGGAGAGGACGTGGTATAATCGAAAAATTCCGCAAAACAATTGGTCGAAGGAAAAGGAAATTGCATCGAATTCCTAAAGAATAGCTCTTTTTTGCCTCCTCTCTCTCTCTCTCTCTCTCTCTTCGAGAAACGATAGTAGCACGAATACAAGTTTGACTGTGGAGCGCCTTTCTTAGTGATTTCATTCTGCGAAGCGACGCATTAATTGCATTTTTCGAAGCGGGAGAATGCATTTTCCGTCCGTCGTGAAAGAATAGCGCTCAATCATTGGAAAGCTTTTTCCCTTCAGAGCTAAAAGATTTTTTTATCCAATTAATTCGTGCCCGGGCGAGTCCCGCCACGTGTACAACGATGAGCCTGCTGCTCCTTTGAATTTTCAGGATGTTCAAGTGGAATAAAATGTGATCCAAATGCCTTTGTGCTCAAAAGCTACTATAACGGCCTGTCCGTAATTTCCTTGTGCGATTGTTAGTCCGGTCACCTCACGTGCGAATACCCTTCTCATTGATTGACTCCCGTGAATGAACGCTTTCTTTGTTGCAGTTCCTCAAAAATGCGTTTCAATTGATTCAAATAAAATTTCGATATCGTGCCTGATTTTTCGTTAAAATGGTCGTATAGATGAATAATTGGAATACTTTTTAAGTAACGAATAGTAATTATGGTCTAAGGAATACATATAGTATTTGGTGAAAACTGAAAGGCTCCTTTCGTCTGACATATGGTAGTTTGTACTACTGCGGATTGTGCACTGCGAAGTACGATTGTGCGTGTACGAAGTAATAATTGATTACAAGTTTATAATTATGGTTTCGAGAATATTTAAATATCGTTAGAAGATACAAATCTCAATTTTAAAAAGACCAAGAAACGAATAATGTTTGATATAGTGATATTGTGTAATTTTAAAAATTTTTTTTACATGAGTACAAATTCAAACCTAGAAATTTAGCAATTATAAATATTTTGAATAAAAATCTTGGCGAACATACACTTTTAAGAAATTATTTATCTTTGTAATCTTTGAATACACACATTTACTACACAAATTACAATGATTTATAAGATAATTGACATCGTTTACAATTTTTCTCCTCATCTTTTAATCCTATTCTGGAATTATTAGCGTTACGTAGTAAGGAATGTACGTAATGATGAAACGAGAATAGTTTCTTTTGAGGAAATTTTGTTTAACCCCATATTTCTCTCTAAAGGTGCTGTATAATATTTCCAGGTTTCGTAAGTGCAGCAGGTATGCCGGGATAAATCTTCGGCAAAATTTTAATCCAACGATGTTACTGTTTTCCATCGTAATAAGCACGCTTAAATCAGAAATTATCTTTCATTGCACTCGTCGTTTCTTTTTCGCGAAAATGAGCTCGAGCGTTGCCAACAAAAATGTCTACAAAACCAATTCGTACTTCAATCACATATTCTCTTCTATTTTCTACCGAAATAACACGTCTTTGTAAAATTAGTTGAAAACAGAAGACGAACTGTGTCCCAATAACTTGTATTTCTCGTTTAAACGAGTTTAACAGCCATAATCGCTGGAGCTCAAAGCAGCTGTACCCAGAAGTTCCAGAGCTCCCGTAAACTTTATGGAACGTTGACAAAATTTCGAACGCTTCTTGAAAAGATTAATACCGACGGTACAGCTGGGATAAAATCGGAAACACGTAGAGTTTCATTTCACGAGCAACAATGAGAATCTCCAAATAGGATCTTCTCGGTGGTATAAATTTAAAATAACCGCGATATTCTTCTCTGACAAGACACGTTTATAGATGAAGAAAGAAAGAAAAAACAACCTCTGAACTGATAGAATTAGTACCGAAACCTCCACGAAAAATAAGCTATTCGGACAACAATGGAGATTGCAGCTTTTCAAATATCTTCCGGCTGGAAATTCCATTCTAAGGGCATCTTGATTCAATCCCGAAAGGAGAAATAAGTACGTTTCTCTATCGGGAATCCGGCGAACGAGCTTCCAAATTGAACAATCCGTCGACGAACCTCAAAATCGAGAAACCAATCGACAGAGGGTCGGAGTTGATGCCATAGAAACGCCGCTCGAAAGTGATCCGTAGGAAAAACATTCATTCGCCGCGTGCAGCCCCGATGGTCAACGATACGTCGGTATCGGAAACCACTTTATACTCTGCATAGGATTGCGGCGTTGGACGTGGAATGGAACGAGGTCGGAGCCAATTAAGATCGTTCAATCGGCGGAAACAGAATCAAAATATATGGTCCGGGTCAAAAAGCGGGCGCGCGGGGGGAGACTAGCAGCGTCATTCACATCGCTACAAGATTACGCAATTGACACATATTCCAGGGCCGAATTATTCTCGGGGATTCGACGGAGATGAGTACCCGCCTCCCTTTGATTGCAAGCTACCCCGCATAGATCGATCGACTATTTTGTTCCGGGATTGTTTGTTTTGTGGGATTCTGTGAATGTGAACGACAGAATCGTCATTGTCACACGGATTTTCTTGCGTTCGTTGAGAATTTTGTCGCGTGGACTACTGTGTACAAGTGTTGGAGCAGGTTCGTTGAAACGTTAAGTGTTTCGCGGTTAACCCTTTGCACTACAATTACGCTGTTATGGCGATATTTTGGAGAACTTTAAAATGTCAAATGCAGGTGTTTTTGATATTATTGAAATAATGCAAATTAACGTAAGAAATGGAAATAAACATTAAAATTCTTTGGTTTTTCTTCAAAACGAACCTTTGAGTTTGCAAAAGTTTCGTTGCAAAAATATACTGGAGTTGCTGATTAATCTTACCAAAAAGTGCTTGGAGTACAAAGGGTTAATTTTAATGGAGAATTTTGAGATGAAGGAATTAGTTTTGGTTTTATCTGTATTCCTTTGTCAGATTATGAAATTTTCATCTTATACACTGCGAGCATTGAGAACTGTCAAATGATCGAAGTGTAAAGTGCGGAATATTTGACTTACTAAACGTAATAGCCCTTCTGAAACCAGTTTTCGATCCAGCTACTCGTAGATCGAAGTTCTTTACATCGCAATTTATACTCGGATGATACAAACTTTCTTCCCCTTCGAATTATAACGAACGATGCCAATTAACGTATCTCGAACTTACAGGGGTCTCGGAAACGGGACTAAACTTCAATTCACCAGTCTCGACATCCAAACTTAAAGACACGTGTGCAAAATTCGGATAACTGCGTACAGAGTACTCATCAGCCTCCTCGAATCTTCTCTTAAGTTCGTAACTCTCGGACGAGAATCTTTTTGAAAAAATATCGTAACTTGTAATTACGTTAAATTAGCCGCACGAACGATGAAAGAACTGCCCGCCATTTTGAAGTTACGACTTTCGGAACGTCTCGAATGCTAAAGAAGTCTGAGGGAAAAATTTCGAAAGGAGGAAGAATTTTCGCGAAGAAGCTTTGGGTATTAAATTACGAGGAGGTTGGTAATTCGTAGCCTCGACACGATCGCCCCAGTCGTATGTACCGACGGATTTATCCTCGTTATCATAATCGGCGCGTTCTAACCGGCTTCTTCAGCGTTTAATATCTCGTGCTCCCACGCTTCAGAAGCGCTTAAACGTTTATCCTTCCCTTTTTTCCTTTTTCACTCCACTTTAGCTTCGTTCTATCCCTCTCTGCTTTTTCTTTTGCTGTTCTTTCTCTTTTACAAGGGAACGACGGGACGGGAGGTGATTTCAATTGAACGACACGTGTTGAGCGATTTTGGGCGGCGATGGAGCGGGATCGTCGAAGCGAAATACAGTGAACGTGGTATTTGAACCGCGACACCGACGAATTTGTTAGCTGAAAGACGAGAGAATGAGGTTTTTGTTCTGTTTTACGACCGCTCGGTCGCGTTCCAATTCTATCAGCTGTAAGGAGTTTTCGAAACCGATCGATATAACGCGGAAATAGTATTTCTAATACGTTCGTTTTAAAATAATTGTTGGAGGTATTGAATGATTGGTGATGAAGCAACATGTGGTATTAATATGTTGTTTAGTCGATAATAGCAACAGGTACAACGTAAAGAAAAATCACTCTCTTTCGTGAAACCTTCTCGACATCCAAGCCTATTATTTTTTCTACCAGCCATAGGTATCATACTTCGTCAAAAACATAAGCTTAACTTAGCCATTCTGTCACTCTGCCTCCGCCCTGCTGTTCACTCTGTAAGAAAAAAAAAAGAACCAAGAGCGTTATTACAGAAGAGAGATGATCATTCGTCACCTCCATTTCCAATCTAGAGAGTAGACGAAGCAACTCAGATTTCAGAAACTCTTTTCCAACCACTCGTTGTTAAAGCTTTGGAATTACGACACAGACGGCTAGCTGTGCTTTTCTTCTTGATATGCGTTGCCAATATACGCGAACTTACTTTTGGAATGCC